AACTAATACACTATCAGAGTTTTATATATTTATACTTCTCATTCAACCACAGTTAAATTCACTCTGTCTAGGAGGCTCAGTTTATATGGATAGTTTTTATTTTTTACAACAACAAGCTGCAATGAAAACAAGCAGAAATGAAATAAAAGTAACGACTTTATACATCTTGTCTTTTTAAAAATGTAAGGAGTAAAAGTAAAAAGTAGGCTGAAAAATAATTACTCAAGTAAAGTACAAGTGCCCAAAAATTCTACTTAAGTACAGTAAAGAAGTATTTGTACTTAGTTAATTAATAATTAAATGTGACAATTTTCTGACTATTAAAACTGCACATTTGCACACCTCAGTCTATTAAAGTCTGAACACTGACAGTGTCGTTCCCTTTCTTCATTTTATTATCTTTAGTTTGGTCTCTTTTTGTTTCAAGTGTGTTTTTTATTATTTATACCTTAATACTTTCTGTCCTTTAAGGGTTTGTTTTTTGCGTCTTGTCTCCTGGCATTCAGTGTGGACGGCAAAGTAAGAATTTCATCGCTCAGGGAAAAATGTTTCATGTGTTTATGACAATAAACACTTTGAATCTTTATGTTCGACTGTAAAACTGATTAAAGTTTTAAAATAATCTTTCTCTGTTGTGGAACAGTGACAGTTGTTCCTGCAGCTGCTCGACCATCTGCAGGAAGATTCTTGTTAGAAACTCAGATTTTATCTTCATGAGTTTGACTGAAACTGAACTTTATTTTTTTCCTCATACCTGGAACGACTGCTCTTCTTATCTAAAACCTTCATCTCAAACATCTGAGCTGAACTTTTATTCTCCCTGTAGGTGAGTTCACACACACTTCCTGTAAAGGTGCGTGCCTCACCGTCAGCTGACTGAGGACAAACAGGTGAGCTGAAATAGACAGATCTGTTTCAAACTAACAGAAACGGATCAAACAGCAAATCTTTATTCTCACAGCTGTTTGGGAACAAAATAACTTTATAAACATTGAATTTGCCACAATGTTTCAGAGCAGAGAGGAGTCTCAGACCCATCAGTCCAGCAGAGGATCCTGCAGCAGCAGCAGGACCGGGTCCAGATCTGATCCAACCTGTTTGCAGCAGGTGAGCAGGAAGTCCTGAGCTGAGGAGGAGGAGGAGGAGGAGGAGACAGTTTGTACAGCAGGAGGAAGAGCTTCAGAAGAGAAACATTTGTGTTTCTGCGGTGGAGCAGGAGCTCAGGATGACTTCATGTTGGAGGAAGAAGCTGAGATCAGAAAGAAACAGACGAGCCGAAGCTTTTTAACCTCCTGCAGGTAAAACTTTTATATGATTTCATGTCTTAAACATGAAAAAAAACAGGTTGTTTTTTATTTGTTGTTTTATGTGGAGGTTTGAGTTTATTTGAATGATTCTGTTTAAGTTTTAGAGGAAACTTTCTTTTTACAACCTTTCTGATTATTTGCATGAGCATGGAGCCTTCGGCTGCTATTTGACTGTAATCTGACAGGAGCTAATCTCTTTACAACCAAGAAGCTACGCTCAGCTTTCTGTGTCTGAACAACACGGCTGATGTAGAAACTATTTATCACTTTTATTTTGTTGGTCGTAAATAAAAAAAGCAGATTATTGAGCTGCTTTCCTAAAATGATTTAATACAGAAGTCTGGTTTTAGGATTAAATTAGAGTCAAAATCATCAAACTGTTTTAAAAACCATGTTGGTTTTTAATAATTGTCTGTATTTCTGACAGATATTTGGTTCTGAAGGGTCTATTAGACAAACTTACTCCACATTTCAGGCTTCCTGCAGATCCTTCAAGTCTTTAAAGGCATTGAATTCATCAATCTAAAAATAAGGCCTGAATTAGACTTAAAATGTCTTAAATCAATATTTCACAGGTCTTAAAAATGTTAACACATTGTAAGTAGGATGACTGTGTTTGCCTCAAATATTAAAATAATTGGTAACATTTATTTATTTTTTAAACAATTTACCAAATTTACCGCAACTAGTTGTTTTGTGTTAAAATAAGCATTTGGCAGTGGTGGGCACTAGACCGCTAAAGCGCTAATCCACTAATTGTGGACCTGGATATTTCATTTGCACTTTAGCGGTCTCAATAATTTTTATAATTCATAAGCAGATTTGTGCTTTCTAAAATTAAAATGCAGTACCACTAATAACTAATTATCTACCAGTCATCATTATGTTGAACAGCAGAAGGTATGACTGTCAATGAATCACAACATGTGATCTATCCAACAGCACCCCTCCCAGATAAACACTCTTATTGTGAAGGTATACATCCTTGCTGTTGCTTTCGGTTCTGATTTCCCACAATGCTTTGTGTCTGCTTACGTAGCAGGAAGGCAATAGCAAAAACAGTAAACGTTTGTAATCCATGCTAAAAAATTTATGTATTGATTTATTTTACTTTAAAATCGGAGCTCCTTTTTTAAAAAAACATAAAGTTTAAACGCTGGAGCTCAATATTTGTCGTAACTGGTCGAAGCAACGGGGTTAGAGACGCAGAAATGATTTAAAGATGTTATGCTGATGAAGACTGACATCTAGTGGTCAACTGGAGCAACTACATGGAAAACTTTAAAATCCAAGCTCTTATTTTGAAGGGAAGACAGTTTCCTGTACTGCGTGTTTTCGTTTCCCATCACAAGTCAAATCCGTCATGTACCCAGAATGCATCACTTCAGTTTTCCAATAAACAGTTTTAAAATTACTTTATTGATGCTTCTTTAATGAAAAATCTACAACAAACAAAAGAAAAAGACAAAGAAGCAGCCGAACTAGCAATCCTCAAAAACTTTTTAATTTTTACACCAGGAGCTAAAGTTCTGTTTCAGGAAATCACATCCCCAGTAATCCTCAGTCGTTTATTAAGCTGTGAAAGGGTTCATTCACCGATGGCAGAGTTGTATATACTGCATTTTGAACATGAATTGTCAGCTACTAAGTGTCAAATTGAACTTGCGTTTTAAAATTAGCTTCTGCTAGTTTCTCTATGACATAAACGTTTTTGAAGTTGTGGACCTAAATATTTTCTGAAGCACTTAAGAATTTGAGAAGTTAATGTTTGGATTAGTGCTGCTCACCACTGGTATGTGGGTGAAATAGTTTCTGGGTTTTATTTTTTTTCACAGTTGTGTTTAATATGAAGTTGGTCTTAAACTTCCTTTGAAGTGACATTAAAAAGTAATAAAAACTATTACGTAGTTTTAGATGTAACTGTCTTTAAGCTGTAGGAACCCTGCATTTAACCTCACAGTGACCTTTGACCCTGAACCTCGCAGTGACCTTTGACCCTGAACTATCTGTCCTGCAGAAGATGTGGGGACCCCACAGAGACCAGGAGCCATGCTGACTTTTACAGAACACCCGGGTTCTGGGGGTCCGCCGTCAGCTGCAGGGGAGCTGCGGATGCCCCTCTCAGACGCTGTGAAGTACTGCATTCTGGGAATTTCTGTCCTCCTGCTCCTGCTGGCCCTGGCCATCCTGGCCTGGCAGGCCTTCAGGTGCTTCTCACAGACTGTGACGTACTGGAACCAGGATCCAGGTGAGCCGGGACCAGAGCAGAACCTGCTGACAGGGTCCTGCTGCAGAAACTAACCCTCCTCTCTGCTGCAGTGAACTCTGATCTGCTGTTCTGTGAGGAAAAACCAGCAACGGCAGGAAAATACTCCACTGCTCCCAGCACCTCGGTGAGGCAGAATGTTAATTATTAAAATAAAACTGTTGATAAAATCCAAGAAAAGTTTATATTTTAATGATCAGAACTCAAGTTTTTATTAAAAACTAAACATTTTGATGAGAAATATAAAAAACTCCTCAGAGAAACTTTACGTTTGTGTTTCAGCTGCTGTGTTTTTCTCTCTGAGCTGCAGGAAGTAAAGTGATGAAGTTGTGCTGTTTGTCTTCATCACACCATGAAGATGGTTATTTAGACAGTTTTCTTCACTCCAGCTGTGTCGAGCTCAGCTCAGGTTAAAAACAGTTTGTAGAAACAGCTTCACTTACTGCAGGAAGTTTTTGTGTTTTTACCGGAGTTTGTGTTGATTTCTGTAGCTTTTCTTCAGCGTCAGGACTGAGGAGGGTCTTATACTGACGAAGTGAAGGTTCTGTCCGTGTTTAAATCCAGACCTGTGGACTCTGCAGGTGGAGGACGTCTCAGCTGAAGCTCACAGACTCAGCAGATGTTTGTCTCAGGCCTCATTTCCTCCAGAACCTGCAGCCGGAGAGACAAGACACGATAAAACTAATAAAAAGGTAAACTTTTCTCCATTTTTATTAGTTTTATACTTTACATATCTATTATTAGAAGTTCAAAGGTTTGAAGAAGCATCAATATATTTATTACCTGATGATTAAAGGTGAAGGTTTTTACCTGCAGTGATAACAGGAAGGGCTAACAGGTCAGTAATGAGGCTGTTGCTCCAGTTCTTCATGGTTTACTGGATTTTTTTAAATGTATTTTTTAAAGAGAAAACCTCAAATATTTGTTTGGAAGTTAATATTTCCCATCTGGACAGAAGAAAAATCCTTGCTAGCAAATACTTTTCTACTCAAAATCACATTTTTTGTAGCTACTACTCAAGAAAATACTTCAAAAACATTGTTTAAAATTATATTTCAGTTAAACAACCTGTAGATAAGGTGCTTATTTATTATCTTTTGACAAATTATTGCAAACATTTTAACCAAAATTTTTTATCTGCCTGTTTCACCACGAAATACTTTGAGACTCAATCCTCAGTTCAATGAGACGGAGACCATATGTGGTATTTTACAAATTTTTTTTTTTTAATGAAAGAAACAAAAACAGGAAATATAATGTATGATTCAAAGCTGAATAATGAATCAAATGTGACTCCTAGATTTTTTTACCTTGGATTTGGCTACTGGGCAAAAACAGTCCGACTGTCTTAAAGTTTCTGGCTTATTTTAAAAGCGAAAAGTTCCTTTAGAGCCAGTCGCTGATTCAAGACAAACTTTGGACAAGGACGGCTAACCTGTCCAACTGGTGTGGTTTAAATTAAATAAACAGTTGAATATCATCAGCATAAAGTGACAGGAAATATCTAAAAACAACTGGATACTATAAAAGGAAAGCAAAAGTGGGCTCACAACTGAGCCTTGTGGAACCCCACAAGTGAAGGGGCCATAGTCAGAGGACAACCTGTCCGTCTTGACGCAGAATGTCCTGTGAGGGTTAAAAGTGAGCCAGTCGCTGATACAAGATCAACTTTGGACAAGGACAGCCAACCTGTCCAACTGTTGTGGTTTAAACAAAAGATACAGCTAGATGTCATCAGTATAAAATGACAGGAAATATATTAAAACAATTAATGGATGATACGAAAGGAAAACGAAAGTGGGCTCAGAACTGAGCCTTGTGGAACCCCACAAGTTAAGGAGGAATAGTCAGAGGAGAACCTGTCTGTCTTGATGGAGAATGTCCTGTGAGGTAGGTATGAACTGAGCCCTGTGATGGACTGGAGACCTGTCCAGGTGTCCCTGTGATGGACTGGAGACCTGTCCAGGTGTCCCTGTGATGGACTGGAGACCTGTCCAGGTGTCCCTGTGATAGATCAAAGACCTGTCCAGGTGTCCCTGTGATAGAATAGAGACCTGTCCAGGTGTCCCTGTAATAGATTAGAGACCTGTCCAGGTGTCCCCATCCCTCAAACAGAGAGTGTTGGAGGAAGTGGGTAAAAGATGATGGACAGTAGCTTTAAACTGAGACAAAGTGTAGCTGAAGCTGATTGATTCTCAGTGTTTATTTGTTTATTTGTTTATTCTTTGATCTCTCCTGTGTTGTCAGGTTTCTGGCTCACTGTCCTTCTCCGTCTACCTGGACCAGCTGCAGCCCCGGCTGGTGGTCACCATCCTGCAGGTGGAGGGTCTCCAGGGCTACAGCCAGACTGCCAGCCTCCAGCTGTTCGTCAAGATACGCCTGATGTGCTCCGGGTCAGGGGGGGCAGAGGTGGAGGGTCTGAGGGAGCAGGAGGTAAACCTGTCTGTCAGTAAAACCCAGAACCAGAACCAGGCCCGCTGGAGTAAAGACCTTTCCTGTGATCCTCTCAGGAGGATGTGGAGCTGCCGGTCCTGTGGACGGTGCTGCAGGAGTGGCGCACTCGCATTGTGAGAGGAAGCTGCAGGCCTTTATTTGGAGACCAGTTCAGTTACAGTCTGCAGGAAGACCAGGACCTGCTGGACCGGCTCAGCCTCAGGATGGAGGTCCGGCACTGAAGCTTCACTTTCTATAACTTTATAATCATAGAGAAATAAAACTCAGAGACAATAAAAACCTGGTCTCAGGTTAAAACTTGTTAAAGAGAATCCACATCAAACCACATTTGATCCATTTCTTCTGATTCTGCTGCTCATCTCATCTCATCTCGTCTCGTCTCTCGTCTCGTCTCTCGTCTCATCTCTCGTCTCGTCTCATCTTGTCTCGTCTCATCTTGTCTCGTCTCATATTGTTTCGTCTCTCTTCTCATCTCGTCTTGTCTCATCTTGTTTCGTCTCTCGTCTCATCTCATCTTGTCTCGTCTCATCTTGTCTAGTCTCTCATCTCGACTCGTCTCATCTTGTCTCATCTCTCGACTCATCTCTTGACTCGTCTCATCTTGTCTCGTCTCATCTTGTCTCGTCTCATCTCTCGACTCGTCTCATCTTGTCTCGTCTCATCTTGTCTCGTCTCTCGTCTCGTCTCATCTTGTCTCGTCTCATCTTGTCTCGTCTCATCTCGTCTCATCTTGTCTCGTCTCTCGTCTCATCTTGTCTCGTCTCTCGTCTCATCTTGTCTCATCTCGTCTCATCTTGTCTCGTCTTATCTCATCTCGTCTCATCTTGTCTCGTCTCTCGTCTCGTCTCATCTTGTCTCGTCTCTCGTCTTGTCTCATCTCGTCTCGTCTTGTATCGTCTCATCTCGTCTCGTCTCATCTTGTCTCGTCTCTCGTCTCGTCTCATCTTGTCTCGTCTCTCGTCTTGTCTCATCTTGTCTCGTCTCTCGTCTCGTCTCATCTTGTCTCGTCTCGTCTCATCTCGTCTCATCTTGTCTCGTCTCTCGTCTCATCTTGTCTCGTCTCTCGTCTCGTCTCATCTCGTCTCATCTTGTCTCGTCTCATCTCGTCTCGTCTCGTCTCGTCTCATCTTGTCTCGTCTCATCTTGTCTCGTCTCTCGTCTCATCTCATCTTGTCTCGTCTCATCTCATCTCTCATTTCGTCTAGTCTCGTCTCGTCTTGTCTCATCTTGTCTCGTCTCTCATCTCGTCTCGCCTCAGCTTGTCTCGTCTCTCGTCTCGTCTCGCCTCATCTTGTCTCATCTCATCTTGTCTCGTCTCATCTCATCTCTCATTTCGTCTAGTCTCGTCTCGTCTTGTCTCATCTTGTCTCGTCTCTCATCTCGTCTCGCCTCAGCTTGTCTCGTCTCTCGTCTCGTCTCGCCTCATCTTGACTCATCTCATCTTGTCTCGTCTCATCTTTTCTTGTCTCTCGTCTCGTTTCATCTTGTCTCGTCTCATCTTGTTTTGTCTCTCGTCTGATCTCATCTTGTCTCGTTTCATCTTGTCTAGTCTCTCATCTCGACTCGTCTCATCTTGTCTCATCTCTCGACTCATCTCTCGACTCATCTCATCTTGTCTCGTCTCATCTTGTCTCGTCTCTCGTCTCGTCTCATCTTGTCTCATCTTGTCTCGTCTCTCGTCTCATCTTGTCTCGTCTCTCGTCTCGTCTCATCTTGTCTCGTCTCGTTTCATCTTGTCTCGTCTCATCTCGTCTTTTCTTGTCTCTCGTCTCGTTTCATCTTGTCTCGTCTCATCTTGTCTCATCTCATCTCATCTCTCATTTCGTCTAGTCTCGTCTTGTCTCATCTTGTCTCGTCTCTCATCTCGCCTCGCCTCATCTTGTCTCGTCTCTCGTCTCGTCTCGCCTCATCTTGTCTCATCTCTCGTCTCGCCTCATCTTGTCTCATCTCATCTCGTCTCGTCTCATCTCGTCTTTTCTTGTCTCTCATCTCGATTCATCTTGTCTCATCTCATCTCGTCTTTTCTTGTCTCTCATCTCATTTCATCTTGTCTCGTCTCATCTTGTCTCGTCTCATCTCGTCTTTTCTTGTCTCTCGTCTCGTTTCATCTTGTCTCGTCTCGTCTCATCTTGTATCGTCTCTCGTCTCGTCTCATCTCGTCTCGTCTCGTCTCTCGTCTCATCTTTTCTCGTCTCATATTATCTCAGGTCAGGGACTTCGATAAGTTCTCTCGGCACACGGTTTTGGGGGAGGTGAGGGTTCCTCTGGACCGGATCAACATCACTTATCCTGTGGAGCTGCAGGAAGATCTGCAAACGCCTCAGAAGGTATCACGGATCAGAACCAGCACCCTCAGAGAGCTTTACTCCACAGCTTCAGACTTTAAACTGTTTCCTTTCACATTTCTAAAAGGTTCATTAGTTATTAAAGCAGTTTTATATTATTGTTGCTAAATTAATAATTTTGTGTTTCTTTTTTCGGAACATCAACCACAGTTTTATTAAATCTGATCTGTTTTGAGAACATGCGTCAAACTCCAGGCCTGTGGGCCAAATGTGGCCCTCCACAGCATTTCATGCAGCTCCTGAGAGCTTCAAAGATGCCTTTAAAAAAGCTGCTTTAAAGAGATCCAGGATTAGTTGTCACATTAGACTTTATTTAATGAACATTTATTTTAACTGTAAAATAAAGACTGTAAAAATACTGTAGCCTGTTTAGTTTTTATCTTTTTTAAAAATATGTTTTAACATGGACGGAGCCATTTTATTTCCACACAAAGCATTCTGGGTAAATGATTATTATTATTATTTCCTTTATTTAACCAGGAAAGTCCCATTGAGATTAAAAACCTCTTTTTCAAGGGAGTCCTGGCC